TGGAGTCTGTTAAATACTGGGTTGAAGGAATTATTGGGAAATTAAGTTACTAGCAACCAAAATACTGCAGTAAGATGGGATGAGTGGCCTCCTCTCATCTGTTTCCTTTCTTACAGAAAGAACATCAATTCCGAGCAAAGTTTGTCTCACATTGTTGAACAGTGGTGGAGAGAAATTGTGTCAGTAATGTGTCAGCAGAATATAATTCAACCAGAGTTTAGGAAGAGAACCTTCCTGGGCCTACAAAACCTTTTGTAATGCAGTCCCATATACTCCATTAGTATGGCAGTGTTTCCTGCTGCTGGGTTTGGGTAAATTAATAACTTGTACCACGTCATGCATTTGTAACAGATCTCAGTGACACTTAGATTCTAACAGAAGTGGCATCACCCACTTGAAATTCAGACAGCACAGAATTAACTTGTGGCAGGAGATCTGGCCTTTTAGTGTAGTGGAGTTCACTGCTGTCTAGAGAGTGGTGCTATTTATCCTCTGAACCAGTGAGATACAATCACAGAACCCTGCAGGGGCACGGCCAAGCTACAGTACTCACAAAACCTCAGAATCATCCTAGTTGTGTACACTGGGATTCTCCTGAATAGGAATGCACACTTGAAATGCCTAGTCTTTTGGTGAATGTGACACTGGTTGACACTTATTTGAACAATCAAAGTTCAAATTATAATCTAGACCTTGGTTTATAAATATGTCATGTATGATTGAAGACAGAAAAGAAAGTGGAGTTATAATCATAGTTTCAGGTGCATAGGTGCATAAGCACCACAACAGCATACAGACAATATACTTTGGACAGACATCCAAGAAATTTCATTTCACATCCATTCATAAGTGAAAGGTGTTACTGTATATGCAGGCAGCAAGAAAGAATGTTAAATGGGTGGTGTCAAACTAGCAGAAGGAATGTATGAGAAAGATGTAGGAGTTCACTTTGACTCATCACATTCCTAATAGTGTGGGGAAGCAGCAGAGAAAGAGCAACAAAACTCTTGGATATTAAGTTTAAACTGCAGAATTTGAATGATGTAAATTAAAATTAAGATTGTATAACAATTCAGTTGAAACCTGACAGTAATTGTGTGCTCAGCTTTGGTTTAGTTACAAAATAATATCGCTACTCTATAGGCAGCACAAAGGAAAGCACCCAGACAAGATGTCTTTGTCTGAAGAGAATGTCATCCTTTATCAGTAGAGAGATCTTAAATATCCTGGAAAAGGAAAAGTACATGAGGACTATATTCAGATGCCCAAGTAGCAAAATCCTGAAAGTTGCTGGCTAAGCCAGCTCAGGTGATGTCTTCAAGATCAAGAACAACTCAAGGACCAGGGAACACAAATGTTCATCAAGTTTAAAAACTTGGATAAATAAACACAGTAGGCAAATATTTATGCAGAGAGTGTTGAAGCATAGAAAAAAGCCCCAAAGTGCATTGTTATAATTGACATTATGAAGTCTTCCAAATACTGACTTGAAGGAATTATTGGGAAACTAAGCAACCAAAATACTGCTGTAAGATAGGATGAGTGGCCTCCTCAACACCATATGAAGATGACAGATAAAAACTTTTATTTATTTTTTTTACATACATAATGTAAAGTATAACATTAGTATTCCCCTGATCCCACATTCCTATGGGGAAGCCATAGTTTACCCCAGCAAGCAACAGGTGCTAGACACGATACACCTTAGATGGGACACCAGTCCATCACAGGGTACACAGAGAAACAAACACATGCACAACCTCACACCAGGGCCAATTTTCCCAGAAGCTAATTAACCTACCAGTTTGTGTTTGGACAGTGGGAGGAAACCAGAGCACCCAGAGGTGCTATAAGGCAGCAGTGTTAACTATT